CGGCTGAGGCCGCAGTCCACCGGCAGGCGCGCGAGGCGAGGGCCTGGCGCAGGCTCTACGAGGACCTCGCGGCGGCGCTGGGCGCTGCGGGCGCGGATGGCGAGCTGAGCAGGGGCTTGGCTGCGGCCTCCCCTGCTTTGGGCGCCCTCGTCCGCAGGGAGGAGCTGACGGCGGTGGCTCGCCTGAGGCGCAACGTGGCCCTTCACGCGGTGGCGGAGGGCATCGACGTGCTGGGGGCTGGTGCTGCGCAGCTCCGCGCGGCGCAGAGCGGCCCGCGGCTCGGCGCGAAGAAGGACGCCTCGAAGGTGTCGCGCATGGAGGAGCCCGTGGAGGAGTTCTCGGCTTCCGAGGCGGGCGTCTGTGGCGAGGCCTTCAAGGAGGTGCAGTTCCACATGGAGGTCGAGGAGGAGACTGTGCTGGAGAACGCGGTCCCCAAGGCGGTCGAGTCGGGCGCCGAGCGTGTGACAAAGGAGCCGTACGGGAGGATCCACGTGGAGAGCGAGGCGGCGAGCACAGGCTGGTTAGCACCAGACACGCGGCAGCTGAAGGACCCCGCGACGGAGGCCGAGATCTTCGTCTGTGGGCCGGAGGCGGGCTGGCGCCTCACAGAGAAGGCCGTGCACGACGAGAAGCAGCACGGCGAGGCGCAGTACGGCGAGGACGTGCTCTGCGTCACCGCGGCGGCGGGGGCGGAGCAGAGCGTGGTGAAGGAGGAGCTGGACACCAACGTGTACGTGGATTGCGCGGGGGCCGAGGACGACGACGGCTCCGCTATGCAGTTCTACACCAAGCAGGTCGAGCTGGAGGCCCACGTGTCGGGGTACGACGTCGAGCAGGGCGTGGGGCAGCACGACGAGGACTTGTTCAGCGTCGACGGCTCTGTCCCGCCAGACCCCGAGGGCAACACCGAGAAGCACGTGGGGTACGAGAGCGTGCGCTTCTTCGACTGGATCGACGACGCGGTGCTCTTCGGTCCTGGTGGGCCTGTGGAGAAGGCTCACTTCCTGGACCGCTCATGCCTCGACGCGCTGGCGGCCACTTCCACGGTGCAGTGCGACGCTGTGGAGGAGCTAAGGTGGCGCGCGTTGGACAAGGTCAAGAACGACCACTCCGCAGGGCGCGACGGGGTCATGGACGGATGCAGCTTGGGGTGCATTGCACGGAAACCCTGGGGAAGGAGCCCAATGACCCCAAGTGAGAGCTGAGCCGTCGGCCGTGCGGGTGACGCGCCTGGCGTGGGCACCATGAGGGCGCGGGGGAGGCGTGCGAGGCGGCGGGCGCCCGCGGCGCGGCGGCGTCCCGTTTCAGAGCAAGGGATCATCATCATCATCATCATCATCATCATCATCATCATCATCATCATCAGCAGCAGCAGCAGCAGCAGCAGAAGCAGCAGCAGCATCAGCAGCAGCAGCATCATCATTATCAGCAGCAGCATCATCATCATCAGCATCATCATCAACACCAGCATCATCATCATCATCATCATCATCATCATCATCATCATCATCATCATCATCATCATCATCATCATCATCATCATCATCATCATCAATATCGTCATCATAGTCAACATAATCAGCAGCAGCAGCATCATCATCATCATCATCATCATCATCATCATCATCATCACCATCAGCATCAGCATCAGCATTATAATCAGCATCAGAATCAGCATCACCATCAGCATCATCAGCAGCATCACCAGCATCCTCGGTATCATCATCATCAGTATCGTCAGCATTATCGTAAGCATCATCATCATCATCATCATAATCATCATCATCATCATCATCATCATCATCATCATCATCATCATCATCATCATCATCAATCATCGTCATCATCATCAGCATCATCATCAGCATCATCATCCTCATCAGAATATTCATCAGCATCTTCAACATCATCAGCATGATCACATCAACATCATCATTGTTATCATCCTCGTCCGCAGCCTCATCCTCATCATCATCATCATCATCATCGTCGTCATCAGCATCAGCATCATCATCAGCATCATAGTAGCCAAGAACGGCGTCATCATAATCATCATGAGCATCAGCATCATCATCTTCACCCGCATCACCATCAGCATCAGCATCATGATCATCAGCATCATCATGAGGATCATCATCACCCTCAGCAGCAACAGCATCATCATCATCATCATCATCATCAGCATCAGCAGCAGCATCATCATCATCCACCTCCTCCTCCTCATCCTCCTCATCCTCCTCCTCTTCCTTCTCCTCTTCCTCCTCATCCTCCTCCACCTCCTCCTCCACCTCCCTCGCCTCCACCTCCTCCTCTCCCTCCTCTTCCTCCTCCTTCCTCGTCCTCCTCGTCCTGGTCCTCCTTCCTCATCCTCCTCCTCCACCTCCTCCCTCCTCCTCCACCTCCTCTCCATCACCCACCTTATCCTTCTTGTCCACATCCGCCTCATCCATTCCATTTCCCTTATACACAACTCCTCCTCTTCTGTCTCCTCCTCCACCTCCACCATCTTCTCCTCATCCTCCTCCTGCTCCTTCTCCTCCTCCTCCTTCACCTCCTCCTCCCCTGGCCGTAGCCGCTATGACTCAAGCTCTCAAGCATTCTGGCGCGAGCGGGTGCAGAGGGGTACTAGGGTCACTCCACACACACACACACACACACACACACACACACACACACACACACACACACACACACACACACGCGCACACGCACACGCACACGCACGCGCACACGCACACACACACACACACACACACACACACACACACACACACGCACACACACACACACACACCAAACCTTTTTTTTGTTACCCAACTCGCGGCCAGCCCTCGCGCCTTCACATGGTGTTCTGGGGTCTGCCTCTTTCCTTTGCCCCAGGCGTTGCTCAGGCGGTCGACGCAATCAAAGCGAGGATTGTCTTCCGCCGCTGGGCGACGCCTCTGGAGTACGTGCGCAGGTTGCCACACGCATCAGTGGAATGACCAGCTACTGGAGGGCGGAGCCTGCAGGAAGTGCGGGAAACCAGTCAAAGCGTACAAGCCCAAAGGTGGGCAGGCGGCAGCATCCGTTGATTCTGCGGTCCCTGACGGCCGCAAGAACGGCAGCAAGAAGAAAAGCGGCGACGAGAGTCATGGAGGCGCGGCTTCTTCGCCAAGCGCCCTCGACCTTCTTCAGCAGAGGATCAACGCCGCCACTGACCCCAGCGTCAGTCAGGTCTTGCTCAGCCAGCAGGCGGTGTTCGCGGTCAAGACGCCGCCGGCTGCGGCCTCGGCGTCGGCGGACGAAGGCGTCCGCAGGGCATCGGGCGCCTAGAAGGACGCCGAGGCGAAACACACGCAGGCAGTGCAGAAGGTGATGCTGTGTCAACAGGCTCTGGCGGAAGCGGAAGCGCGCGAGTGCGAGTGCGCCAGGGTTCTCGCCCAGGCCGGCATCAACAAGGAGATAGCCATCAAAGCCCTCGCCAACGCCTCGGGTTTGACGGTCCAGGGCAAAGGCGAGCCCAGCGAGAATGGGGGCGGTCAGGATTCCGACGCCGACCCGTTCCGCGTCGTGGTGGGTAAATAGTTTGGTTTAGAGAGTTTGGAGTCTCTCGTAGTCGAGGAGTGCGAGAGGGATGAGCTCAAGAAGCTCGAACAGCAGCTGAAGAATGTCTAGAAAAATGGCCACAAGGTCCGGCGAGGTCAAATCATGGGCCGAGCGCACCAAGGCCATGAAGGCGGCCACCCAAGAGCACCTCAACAAGGAGAGGAAGGTGAACGGCGAAGGCGACGCTGGGCAAGCAGGTGCACACGAGGCAAAACACGAGAGATGGTGTGTTGCAAGTCCACTCTCTGGCTCTCGCGTCCAACTTGAACCTCTTCGAGGCTCCTCCTCCATCTCACTCTCCTCCCTCTTGTCCTCCATCCACTTCGGCATGCTGTCGGGCCGCTCTGGCCCGTAGCACCAGAACGCGCGGCCAGCAGCCCGACAGCGCGCGGCAAGAGCAGCAAAACGACCCCGACGTAGCCGAGGTCCAGCAGCAGGGCGAAGAGGGGGCAAAGTCGAGCGGTCCCCCCGCGGAAGGAGTGCGGAAGGCGCGCTAACGCCAGGAGGGACAAACAGAGAGTGTGAGAGAGAGAGAGAGAAAAAAAAAAAAAAAAAAAACAAAAAAAACAAAAAAAACAAAAAAAAAAAAAAAAAAAAAAAAAAAAAAAAAGGAGAGAGAGAGAGAGAGAGAGAGAGAGAGGAAGAGGGAGAGGGAGGAGGAGGAGGAAGAGGAGGAGGAGGAGGAGGAAGGAGACTGACTGACTGACTAGCTCTGGGAAGCCAACAGTCTCCAGCGACACGCTCGTGACAGTAAAAAATTGAAGCATCAATCTGAGACTGCTCGAGGCTTCTGAGATGGTTCCCTCCGAAAACCACTGATGAATGCAATTTGAGAGTGGCCGAACTGCCCACTGACAGAGCAGCACTGGCCAGGCCCGCACCCGCATGGGCACGCAGTCCACCATGGGGCGGGCACTCACGGCGCAGGCTGTAAATCGCCGTTGTGCCGCCCCCGACCGCGACCTCGCGCTCTCCTTGGTGGTGGCCGGCCTCGGGGCTGCCTGCACCAAGGGGACTGCAGGCATTGCACTATGAGAAGAAGTTTGGACAATGCCGCTCGCAGCAGCGGCAGCACGCGCTGGGGCGCCAGCACTCACGATGCCCCGCGCCACCAGCTGCTGGAACCTCTCCGAGCCGAGAAATTTGCGCTGTTTGGGCCCTGGCCCGGGGATCCTGGAGAGGTTGCGCTCGCATGGGCCCCATCGGGGCTGGGCCAGGATGAAAGTCCCCGCCCCCCCGCAGCACCAACGCCTCGAAGATGTCCGCCAGCCTGGCACCGATGGACGTCCCCGCGTACATATTCCACGAAATCGTCGCCATGCGCCCCACCCCCCCCTCCTTCTCCTCGTGGCCCCTGCACCTGAAGTACGCCACCGCCCGCGCCAAGGGTTTCCAGGACCCCTGCTTCTTGATCACAGGACATCGCCGAACGCCTCCTTGACCTTCTGGCCCTCGTTGCGCCTAGGCCCCGCCGCCACTGCGCGCTTCGCCCCGTGCTCGATCGCGGCCATCATGACGCGCGCATGAGGAGGCCCGCGGCCCTTAAAGTCGATATTCTCGCCCGCGGCGGCGCACTCGCGCAGGGCCTGACTGCGCTCGCTGCACTTGCGGCCCTCCGCGGGGCACGCCACGGCCAGCCCAGAGCCCACTCCGATGCAGTACTCGCAGTAGACGGCGGCTGAGAGCTCCGCTGTCTCGCGCACGTTGGCCAGGAGGAGGCGGCGCATCATGTCCTGCATCTCGCCTCGCCCCTGGCGCGGCCGTTGCCGCCCTCGCCGCTCCGCTTCACCATCTTGGCCTCGGGGTCGACCACCTCCTCTCCCCCGCCGCCGATGCCGCCGACGCCGCCGCCCCCGACCCTGAACCCGGCTCGCGGGGCCGCGTCGCGCCCTCCTTGAACCACGAAGGCATGTCCACGTCGCCCATCTCCACGTTGTCGCGCTTGCCGAGCAACTAAGGGGCGCAGCGCGAGCGAGAGGCGCGAACAGAGGTGTTCGCACAGAGCAGATAAGGATGGGCCTAAACGGTTACAGATTGGGCATGCCAAGGAGCACGGTGGGCCCGCAGCTATCTTCACCGTTGCGAAGCCACCCGTGCAGCAGTGCCTTCGAGTGAGGGATCCGAAGACGTCGCGCGGCGTTCGATTGGTTACCAAACACACGTCGGCAGTGTATACAGACATTAGTTGGAGTCAGCACGCGGCAGAGGTCGCGGACGCGGTGCACTTGCCTGCAGCGGTTCATCAGATCTCGACGGTGAACAAAGGCCGCGGCACAGGGGATACCGTCGCTTCCAGGAATAGGCAACCCGCAGACAAACCCAGCGTTTTCTCCCCCAAGATCGGCCCCCGGGCGGGGAACGGCCTCAGGATGGAAACCAGGGGGAGGAACGCGGCGAGAATAATGCTCAGCCCGCAACTTCGAAACATCCAGGCCCACGAACTCCCCCGCCCCCTCCTTGCCCCCCGAGATCCTCAAGGCCTCTGATACTTCCTCCGGGGCCCCTGGCTCCAAGGACATCGCGGCCGACTCGAGGTCCTGACAAATCTGCGCGACCCAAGGAGACGAGCATTGCGCCGGACGACCTGCGACAAGTTGCCCGCGATACCGACCCGAATCCATCTCACCAAGGAGACAGCAGAGAACTTGGGCGCGGCGCGGGGGGGCCCTGGCCCAGGCCCGGCACACACATAGGCGCCTGATGAGCATCTCCACTGCACTGGGCGCAAGCCGCCAGTGCCAGAGGATCTGAACCGTCCACAAGCACCGCACACGATCCTCTCCCTCATGCGCTGCTCAGCCCACCCACCCACCCCCCTCGCGCTGCAACCCCGCGATCGAGACGCGCATAATCGCGGTCATTCAGAAGGAAGGCCCCCAGGACTCTCAGGATGGTGTTCTGGGCAAAGCAGAGCAGCAACAACCGTTTAAACTCACGTCGAAGACGGGGTCCCCAGATGCCCCCTCGGCTGTGGAAGGAAGCCCATGATGCTTCAATCCCCCTCGTGACTTCCTGTGCCGCCAGAGAGCTCATGGCAATGCAAGGTCCTTGATATCGCGACGCGTCCTTGGGCGCCCCACCCAAATCGCGCCCGCGCCCCATTCTTGCTTGCCGAGGTTTTCCCCGCACCCGTAATCTTCGAGTTTCGCGTTCAAGCAGCTGTCGACCCCATTCAGCTTCGAGGTGAGGAATCAAAATCGGACAGGGCAATCTCGTTCAAGTCATCCGCGCACTTCAATAATGAGAAGTCGGAGCTGGGGCCCCCCCAGGCAGCACGGAGATCGCGAGCGGAACGGCCCCATTTGGTAAATTTCCACCCCCACGACAGCATGGGCCTCGAAAAAATGGAGAGGAACATCGCCACCATGCACGGGCCCCCCATCGCCCCCCCCTGGAAAGGCTCCACGATCACGTCGCCATCGCAGGAAGGGAGGACCACCACCGAGTGCCCGAACCTTCGTCGGCAGAGGTCGCGGTCGCAGGCCTGCACATGCAGATCAACAGTATCGGACATCGCCTCGCATGTGCTACTGGAAAAAACGTTAGTCACACCCTTTAGGCAGAGAGCGCGCGCGCGCCCTGCGGCCCGTAGCCCCCACGAAGTATCCAGCGCTATAAGTATGGCAAGCCCACGGCCCCGGCCAGAAACAAACCCGCGGTCAGCCAGGAAAGGCGCCTGCACGAGTCGCGCAGCAAAGTACCCCTTACCCAACGCAGGGAGATGGCGGGCGACACGTCTGCCTAGTGGTCCAGGCCTGGAGTTGTTATATAATGCCGTGGCCTGGCTGCGATGCCAATAGAGTGGTGAAAGCTGACATCGCCTGATCCTGTGGAAGCCTGCAGTCATGAGAAACCCGAAACTGGGTACCCTAGGAGCCTCGTCATCGGCCCCCACGCCCAGTCGAGATCGGTCAACCCTCCACTTTGGGAACAATAGCACGCGGAAAAGCTCGAGCGGGCAGGCACCCTGTGGGACGCAACGTTTCGGGGCGTAGAGTACGCACTTACGGAACTCCCCCATGTCTTGTTTAGCAAGAACGGCCAAGTCGGGGACATCGTCGCCCCTGAACTCCTCCGCCCCTCCCCTCTCGTTCCTCCAGGTCTCCCAGTCCATCTCCTGCACCTCCATACCTCCTTCCCTTCCAGGTTTGCCCCGGACCTGCGGCCGCTCCTCTGAGGACGGCAACGCACGACTGCCTGCTAAGAGAGAACCCAGTCTCTTTGGACCGTAGCGGCAACGAGCCGCTCGCCTAGATAGTTGCATAGCCTCTGCGCCACGTCGCTTGCCCCAGCGATCGTTAGCTTCGGAAAGAAGGGCATCACGGTGAGCGCGCAGGTACTTACGATGGCCCTGATGGAGCATCCGAGACAGGTGCTTCAGCTCGTCATCGATGGACGAGATGTGGCAAGCACTGGCGTAGAGTTCACCTACCAGAATATGTCATCTAAGCTGATGGAGCTCGCGTCTTCTCTCACAAGCTTCACTGCACCCTGCCCTGACCTCCTGCTTTCCCTCGAAATGTAGTTCACCCGCCCTCATGATAGCCTCCTCCACCCGCTCGATCGCAGAATTCGGGGGGGGGGCAGTCGAGTAGCTCCCGAACGGATAGTCGTTGGAATTCAACATGAGCAGAACGTATATATATATATATAAAAAAAAAAAAAAAAAAAAAAAAAAAAAAAAAAAAAAAAAAAAAAAAAAAAAAAAAAAAAAAAAAAAAAAAAAAAAAAAAAAAAAAAAACGCATCGTCCCTCCCCAGTTCTCAGGCTTCGCATCATACGATCAGCATCCTATTGTACACGCGCCTCCTCCCGTACGTCTCCTCCTTAAATATGACGAAGTAATAGGCAAACAGGGAGGTGGTCACGTGGGGGTACCTCTACTTTCTTGTAGTTTGGCTCCGAGGCCCCTGCATCGCACATGACTTTTGACAATAGAGTCTTGAAATCCACCAGGCAGACATGTGCAATCCAGGCGGCTCGATCCCTGGTCACCAAAATAGGTGTGCTCCACTCGAAACCGTGCGCTGGCAGCGATTAGACGGTGTTGTTCGAGGGCCAGGCGGAAAAGGTTGCCAGCACCACGCTTGAACTCCTCCTGAGTTGGGGCACCTACCGCCGTCGAGTGTGCATTCTGCCACGAGCCGTCACGCCATTCCTCCCCATCCCGTTCAATACGTCGCCGATTACGATTGGCAAACAACGTGCAGGAAGCGACCCCAGGATAGCCTCGAACCAGTCCGTCAGGATCTTATGCGTTTTGAAGTAAGCCGTTTTCTGGGCACTCGTCGGTCTAGGAGGATAATACAAACTAATAGCACAATGGTCGAGAGGGCCACGTTTGGCCCGAACAGCAACTCCTCTGACCCCGCCTCTCCAGGACTCCCCCATCATCTCCGAATATCGCCGGTTTTGATGAACGGGCCGAGGATGACTGCGCAGCCGCAGCTGCTGTTGGAGAAGGGGGAGGGAGTGCGGTGCCTCGATGATGATGCGGCCCCCCACGCGGCGCGTGAGGGCCTGGACGTCCGCGAGGCGGGTCCCACACCGAGTGCCCGAGAGGAGGACGACATCAAAGTTACGAGTCTCTCCCACCACCTCCTCCACCCTGTCCGCTGTGTTGAAATGCATCGGATTCGAACCCAAGACCCTCAACATGGCCCGCCAGCTCGACCTCTCGTTTCGCACCAGCAGAAGAGAAGCAAGAAGCACAATGTGGCATGGCAACATCCCCACCTGACAGAGCCGTGGGCTTAGGAGGAAGGAGAGGAGAAGGAGAAGGACGAGGGGCACGAGGAGGAGGACGAGGAAGAGAAGGAAGAGGAGGAGGAGGAGGAGGAGGAGGAGGAAAACGACGACGACGAGAAGGGAGGGGGGAGAAGGAGGACAGCCCTCGAGCGGGGCGCCGCGGGCGGGCTGCCGCGCCTCGGCCGCCGCGTCGAGCAGCGCCTCGAAGGCCTCCGCCTCGCACTCGGGGCCCGGGGCGGCGCCTGAGGCGCGGCGCGACCTCCCACCTCCCTCCCCCTTTTCCTTCCACCTCCCTCCCACCTCTCTCCTGCCACCTCCCTCCTCCTCCTCCTCCCTCCTCCTCTTCCTCCTCCTCCTCCTCCTCCTCCTCCTCCTCCTCCTCCTCCTCCCCCTCCTCCTCCTCCCCTCCTCCTCCTCCTCCTCCTCCTCCTCCTCCTCCTCCTCCTCCTCCTCCTCCTCCTCCTCCCCCTCCTCCTCCTCCTCCTCCTCCTCCCTCCCTCCTCCTCCTCCCTCCTCCTCCTCCTCCTCCTCCTCCTCCTCCTCCTCCTCCTCCTCCTCCTCCTCCTCCTCCTCCTCCTCCTCTCCTCCTCCTCCTCCTCCTCCTCCTCCTCCTCCTCCTCCTCCTCCTGTTCCTCCAACCTCCCTCCCCCCTCCCCCTGCATATGCGCACTGCCAAATGGGCGCGCGAGAGCCACGTTTGGTAGTAGGCGGTGAACATGTTGAAAGACCTGCGGTCTTCTTCCGAAATCACACGAACACAAGCGCAGGCTTTTTGAACATTCCGCATGCGAAACCATTGGTTCTTACATGTTTCGGGACACTCGACTTCGCAATCCTTACGATGCCTACATGGTGTTTGATGGATTTCGGCATGCGCGCACGACGACGCGTGCGTGTGTACTTCGTCCCGGATGTTGCAATTGGTTTGTGCGACAGCACGCGCTCAGGGGCGTTCGAATGATTTTGGCATGCGCGCGAAGGACACGTTTGATCGCATCTGATGACAATGTGGAAACCTATGGCTTGATGTAGAAGTCGCAAGAACATGAAGTCTTGCTTGAAAAAACTGATGCGAAACAAATGGTTTCATATGTTTTCGGAACACTCGATTTCGAAATCCTCACGAAACCTGAGGTGGTTAAAGGAGTCTGGGATACGCGCGCGCGACGACGCGCGCGTGCACTCTGCCACATGTGCTGCAACGGATTATTGCAGATACTAGATTTGAAGAGATGTGCGCGCATGGTATTTTTTGTGCAAGGTATGAGGGGGGTGCCGATACTGGTTTGGCTGGGTTCGTCTGAGTTCATGTTTCAAATGAACGCCAGGGAAGAATCATATGTACATTGCACATCCTGAGAGGGTGGGGAGAATCCCAGGGAGGTAGATCCGAACTCTCTCTTAGAAAAGAAAATGTATGTGATGCGGTAGATGTGGCGCAAGTAATGCAACGCAGTGTGATGGCAAAGCAGTGCGATTGCCACGTCATACGACTGCAAGATAGTGCCCAGACGATGGGCGGCGACGAGGCGGCGACGGGGCGGCGACGCGAAAACAAGACGGCGGATGCGACACTGGAGCCCAGACGACGGGCGGCGACGAGGCGGCGACGGGGCGGCGACAGCGACAACAAGGCGGCGGACCAGGCAACCAGGCCCAGGTGACGGGCGGCGACGAAGCGGCGATGGGGCGGCCACGGCGACAACAAAGCGGTGGACCCGGCAGCCAGGCCCAACTCCTTCGAAAAGACGGTCGGCGACGAGACAGCGACGGGGCGGCGACGGCGAAAACAAGGCGGCGGACCCGGCAACCAGGCCCAGTTCCTCGGCAAAGAAGTAAGAAACCCCTAAGTGCAAACTCTGTTTGGGGAATATACCAGCGCCGCGCAAGGAGACGCTGGTGCCCAGCGCACGTTGTTGTTTTTGTTCCTGCGAGGCTCGAGAATCGACTTGATTTGCGAGCAGACCCCCTACGGCTCCCCCCCGGTTCGAATGTCCAAGCACCTGGCAGCTCTTTGGTCACAACGAAGTCAAAGAGCCTCTTCACGGAGACCTGCGCGGGCACGTCAACGGGATCGCCGATGTCATAGTTTTCATCTCTTCCCAGGGCCAGAAGCCAGCACACCGATCCTCTCCCCGCTGCCCCTGCTCAGCCCCTACCTGCAGAAGCGCAGGCTGCTGTGATCCTATCGGTCTGGTGGACTGCACCATAGCACTGGCTGTGCCCAGCATTCGTTGGTCAGCGCTCACCACAGCGCCGCAGCGCCACGACGATATCGAAGCGACCAGACTGCGCCTCGCTTGCACGACGTCCGAACCTGACAGCAGACGCCACCCCCCCCACCGACTACACGCAAGAATGAACCTGGGTAAAAGTTACCTTTGGTGTGCGTTTTCTTCGAGCCGCGGGGGGTCCAAACAACAGCGCGCAAGACGCTACTACCGCATCGCTTTCGGCGATCGGGGAACTCCCTTGGGCCCGCACCAAAGGTCACTCTGGCGAAAGGTCACTCTCACGTGCAGTCGACTCCCTGGCGGCGCACAGAAGGGGCCGGTCGCACTCTGAGAAGGCGGGGGGGGCGCGTGCGCCTGCCGCCCCCTCTCAGAGGCGGGGAGCCTTCTCGGCAGGCCGCCCTGCTGACCCTGCCTCACTTGCGAGACGGAGTTTGACCAGATCCACCACCTGGGGAACCGACGTCCTGAAACACCAGCGGGCGGTGGATATGGATACATTTGGACCCCAGGGGGCCCGAATATGTCCATCCGCCTGTCCAGGTCTCCGAAGATCGATCCTCCAGGCGGTGGTTATGTATCAGCCCCAGCCTCGGATCATTGGCTGGCACGCCCAGACTGGGGACGGAAACAAAGGTGGACGATGCCCAACGGCAAGTTCTATCCGAAACCAGGGGCGGTCGCTGTCAGGCGGGCGACTTTCGTCCCAAATGGACAACGCCCGCGGCTGCACCAACAGCGCACCTGGTTCTGGGCGGACAAGAGCTTCTGTCGGGCTTCGTCAACGTTGCTTCCGTTCACATTTCGGTCCCCTGGACTTGTGTGGGGGGCCCCCCTCGCGTGTCCGTCCCTGGGGCAAGTTTTTCATCCCGAGTGGTTCCTGACAGTCCCGAGGCCCCAAACTGGCCCCCGTCGCGCCAAAATTGTGAAAAACTGGCTGTCTCCACGTTTTTGAGCCGCAGGATATGTAGGAGTGGGCGGCGCCAGCAAAATCCTTTGCCCTGATGCCTCTCTTTCCCTCTCCATCCCGCAGGCACGGACTGGCACACCAACGAAGCCCTCCGCACGGAGCGCATCGGACGCCGCCCCATCACCCTCACAACTATATCTTACCCATCCTCCCTCTTTCCTCCGCCCTCCTCCATTATCCCTCCTGGCTTTCCCGTCCCTTCCTCCCCCTCCCCTTGCCCCAAGCCCTGGTCTCGTCACCCTCCTCTCATCTGCACTTCACCGGCGTGGACGATGCTTACTCTTATCGGCTGTATACTACATATCCATACATACATGCATGCATGCATATGTACCTACCTGCCTACCTACCTACCTACCTCCCGACCTCCCGACGGACCGACCGACCGACCGACCGACCGACCGACCGACCGACCGACCGACCTACATACAAGCATACATACATACATACATACATACATACATACATACATACATGCATGCATGCATGCATGCATTCATACATGCATACATACATACATACATGCATGCATGCATGCATGCATGCATGCATGCATACACATACATACATACATATACATTACATACATACATACATACACATACATACATGCATGCATGCATGCATGCACATACATACATACATGCATGCATGCATGCATGCATGCATGCATGCATACATACATACATACATACATACATACATACATACATACATACATACATACATACATACATACATACATACATACATACAGCATACATACATCATACATACATACATACATACATACATACGAGAGAGCGTGATCCACCGCCGCTTTACTGTGGAAAATTGCCAACCTTTTCCTCCGGAACCCGGGGGTCCCCCCCCCCCCCCCTCCGAAAATCCCCCCCCCCTGCTGGAACCCCCCCCCCCCCCCCCCCCTCCCCCCGGCAAAACCCCCCCCTCCCCTAACCCCTCCCCCCCCCCTCCCCCTCGAAAACCGGGGGGGGGTCACTACCGGTTCGAACCCCTCCCCCCCCCCCCTCCACCCCCCCCCCTCCGGATCCGGAAAACCGGGGGGGGTCACTACCGGTTGGAACCCCCCCCCGAAAACCGGAGGGGGTCACTGCCGGTTCGACCCCGCACCGCCAGCAAACGACTCCCGGTCCCTACCACCGCTCGCATCACATCCCCCACTGTTGTTCCCAGCACCACTGTCCTCACCACCACTGTCCCCACTGGTTCCACCACCGTCCCTATTGTCCCCACCAATGCCCCCACCACTGTCGCACTGTCCCCACTGTTCCCACAACTGTTCCCACCACGGTTCCACTCTCCCCACTGTCTCCACGGACCCAACCACTGCCTATCCCCATTGTCCCCACTGTCCCACTGACTCCTCCGCTGTCCCACTGAGCTGTCCCACTGTTTCCACCACTGTCCCCACTGTCCCCACCACTGTCCCCACTGTACCTCTGTCCCATTGTCCCACCGCCGTCCTCGCCACCGCCTTTACCAGTGTCCCCACCACCATTGTACCCTCCACTGTCCCAGTGTTTCCACCTCATTCCCACTGTCCCCACACCACTGTCCCCACCACCACCGTTCCCACCACTGTCCACTGTCCCCCCTGTTCCCACCATTGTCCCCACCACTGTCCCCACCACTACCGTCCCCACCACTGTCCCACTGTCCCACTGTCCCCACCACTGTCCCGCTGTCCCCTCACCACTGTCCCCACCAACACCGTCCCCACCACTGTCCGCACCCCCACTCGGTTTTCGAGGGGGGGGGGTTCGAACCGGTAGTGACCCCCCCCCCCTTTTCATGATGAGCTGGGGGGGGGGGGGAGGGGTTCGAACCGGTAGTGACCCCCCCCGGTTTTCCGGAGGGGGGGGGGGAGGGGTTCGAACCGGTAGTGACCCCCCCGGTTTTCCGCCAGCAGCGGTAGAACACGCTCTTTCATACATACATACATACATACATACATACATACATACAGACAGACAGACAGACAGACAGACAGACAGACAGACAGACAGACAGACAGACAGACAGACAGACAGACAGACAGACATATATAAATATATATATACACACATACATACATACATGCGTACAGATAGACAGGCAGACAGGCAGGCAGACAGACATGCATGCATGCATACAAACATCCATACAAACATACATACATGCGTAATTGCATACGCGAATATCTGCACTGCATGAAATCATAGAAGCATACATGGAGGTATTAAACATGCACATATGCATATAATCATACATGCATACATACATACACAAACATACATACATACGTACATACACGCATACATACATGCATGTGTAAATGCATACATGCATGCATGCATGCATGCATGCAGATATGCATACATAAATACATGCATGCATGCATGCATGGATGTATTACAATACCGTGAAATACAATGTATTACAGTGTGCTGCAGTACCGTACATTGTACTGCATTACTTGATAGTACCTGGCATCGCATTTACAATTCGTTACATTACACCACACTACAGTACATTACACTATCGCACAATACATTATATCACAATACACTACATTACAGTACACTACACTGCATGCATACATACATGTAAGCATAGAAACGTATGTACGCACATACATAAATACATACATGTATGAACACATACGTACGTATGTACACACATGTATGTACACATAAATCGATGCAGAATTACACATGCATACATACAAATACGCATGCATACGTGCATACATGCACAGAGACAGACAGGCATACATGCATACGTAGGTACATACATACATACTAGAACCATCGCGCACGCTTCGCGCGCGCTCAAGTTCTAGCTCGGCTTGATAGGCTATCTCATGTAATATCATGTTGGTCGCTTCTTGCATCCAGGGACTCCCTTGGAGGCCCTGCGCAAGCCTCGGAATCGTATAGAAGGGGAAGTGCGGAAACGCAGAAATCATTTATTACCTTTAGGTGTTCAACGATTCGGGGCCCTCAAAGGCTTCCCGGGTTCTTTTTGGGGAGGTGAGGGGGGTCTGAATTGTGGTATGTTGTGCAACAGTAGACCGGGGGCCAGACTTGACACAAAAAAAGAATTGTGGGATTTCCATAGTTCTCCACTTCCTCGGCGCTGTTCGCGCTGTTTTTTGTTTGTGCCTCGCGGGTTGTGTTAGCCGGGCCCCTCAGGGGTGTGGGAACTTCCGGACCCCTTGGGGGTTCTGGAGGCCTCCTGGAGGCCTGGAGAGCCGTCGGAAGGGTGTTTCGGGCTGCGCGGGAGCGTGTTGGGCCGTTTTGTACGTTCTGGGGGTTCCTCGGGGTCGTCTTTCTTCCTGAGAGCATTCGGACGCGAAACACTGTCGCGAACCGCAATCCACTCTGGTAGCCAGCACCGCGCGCCACACAACCGAGGCCCTGCGTCGCGCGCCAGCACCGCACAGCGGGGACACCTTTTTGAAACGCCGACAACAGTCTGATTGTGAAAAGCCATAGGAGAAACAACCTTTGCCCCAACCTTTGCCCAATCCTGAGCGTAAAAACAGCACGCGCAGAGAACCGCCCAGCTTCCGGACGGAGTCAGGGAAGAGAGGAGAGTAGTATTCATAATATGCAATTGTGAAGGACCAGGAGGAGGAGTGAAGGCAAGGACGACGAAGCCGACGACGAGAAAACGGAGCCTGGAGAGAGAATATTCCAACGGAAGGAGAATGGATGGGCAGTTGAAACAAGGAAGAGCGAGGAGGAAATATGGGGATAGAGCGAGGGGAGAGAAGATGGAGGGAGGAGGAAAGGAGGGAGAATGGAAAGGAGCGAGGAGCGGCGACGGAGGAGGAAAAGGAGGAAGGGAGGAAGACAGGAAGAGAGGAGGAGGAGGAGGAGGAGGAGGAGGAGGAGGAGGAGGCCATGATGAACTTCATCCCATTCACAACACCCTGCGGCGGACCGGATGACAGCCCGTGCGCTTGCTGAAAAAGTTGTTGACGTTGACGCAGTCGCGCTGAGACAGGGAGCAGGGAGAGGAAGAAGCAGAAATGAAGATGGGCGGAGAGACGGGGACAGAGACCGGGACACGGGCGGGGACAACGACGGGGGCACGGACAGCGACGGAAGACCGACAGAGGCGTGGGCAGAGACGGCGTGACAGACAGAACAGAGGACAAATAGAATAAAGGCGAAACAACACACGCACAATGGCCACCTACTACAGATCAGGCCATTCCGTAAACGCACCCAAATATGTTGTTCGCATCGTACTTGAGGACCACATCCCAGAATTTCGAGCACCCAGAGAAGCATCGTAACAATGTCGAACGAGCATCGCCTCCCAAGCCCGACACGTGAAATCCCTCCAGTCTCGATACTTTCTCGGTGCTCGAAATTATTTCTGGTGATCAAGGCTAAAGTAAGTTGGAACATCATAAAACCAGAGAAGGAGTCTGACAGGAAAGGATACAGGACCTGTTCACGAACGCTAACCTATGAGAGACGGGGTGGCCTCGGCCTTTCTCGTCTGACGGCTGGTTCTCCGTGAGCGTCGCTGCCGATCCCCTATGGACGGATCCAGCGCCTCCCCGCTGCGGGGAGCCGCGACGGTGCGCGCCACTCCTCCACTCCGCCTCCTCCTCCTCCTCCTCCTCCTCCTCCTCCTCCTCCTCCTCCTCCTCCTCCTCCTCCTCCTCCCTCCTCCTCCTCCTCCTCCTCCTCCTCCTATTATTATTATTATTATTAGTATTATTCCTCCTCCTCCTCCTCCTCCTCCTCCTCCTCCTCCTCCTCCTCCTCCTCCGCCTCCGCCTCCGACTCCGCCTCCTCCTCCTCCTCTAGCTCCATTATCTTCTTGTAACTAACTCCTTCCTGGCGCACCCCGAGGCTGGTCGAAAAGGCCCGCCAGGCGTTTCGCCTGAGACTTCCTCGCCAATTATGATCCTGAAGCTGAAAAAATGTTGCAACAGTTTCAGAAATTGAGGGCGGGTGGTTTTCATAATGTGGCTCTCGCATTAGCGCCGCGCACATTGGTTTCAACAATTTGCAAGCGCTTCACGGATTGGCGGCAGGCCGTTTTCAAAATGTGGCTCTCGCGTTAGCGCCGCGCACAGTCGGTTTAAAGAGTTGCAAGAGTTTCACGGGTTGAGGGCGGTTCGTTTTCAAAATGTGACTCTCGCCTTCGCGCTGCGCACATTCGTTTTCAAAATTTACCAGAGTGCCACACATTCCCATGGTCAACGTACCAAAAATGTTTTGGAAGGATTCACGATTGTGCGGGTGCAACAGTTACGTGGATTCGCGGTGTTGTAATCCCAGGAACGGCGTTCTGGAACGAGTCAGGATCGTCAGAACGCGACAATCTGGTTGATCCGTGGCGTTGGAGTCCTGAGAATGGTGTTTTGGTCAACGAGGCAGGTCCATCAGCGGAAATGAACCCCTTTTATGGGGCCTATGGAGAGGGAGCTTGGAGGGAGGATAGATTAAAACCTCGTTGATGGGTCTTGGGTTTACACTGGTCCTCGTCGGAATGTCGCAATGGTATACGATTCAAGCGGCCCGAAACGATATTGAATCGGATCGACTGGATCCAGAAGGACCCTGGGGGAAGGGGGAGGGATGGACCCTGCGATCCGCCAGCGCAAAATCACGACCAGAATTCTAGTCCCCGACGTTCTGCGGCATTGAGCTGGACTACTATGTGAGGGTCCTTTTGCCACCAGGCGGGGGATGCGGAGCCCCGCCTGGGCCAACGGCGGGGCGCAACCCCCTCGAGCAAGGAGCAGGGAAACCCTAACCAGCCCGAGGAGGAGGAGATGGGGCGATCTGGGCTCGGCCAGGAATTCTCCTCGAGGGGAAACACCCTAACCAAGCCTGGGGAAACATCTCCTTTTTGAACTGGTCAGAGCTTCCTGCCCCCTGATCGGGTAGGGAGCAGGGAGGAAGGAGGGGGGATGGAGGAGCGTAGGGGTGACGAAAAACACACCACAATGCGCGTGAGGTCACGCGGCGCAATCGCGGCGCATGCCGTACCAGGGCGCAGTTCCTGCCGAAAGCAGTGGGTATTTGCATTTAAGCTATTGACCAGGGGTCGAAAGTAAAACGAGGGCGATGAGACAAACTGATATCTACGGCCACAATAGTTCAAGCTGTTGAATACGATGCCAAACTGAGGTTGCAACACCCAAACGGAGTTGGGCACGAAGAGTCAGCCCAAGCGCTGGACTGACAAGAATAGGCCAGCATACAAATCTTCTCCACAAGGTCAGACCAGAAGGAGGTGGTAAGTGCAGGCAGCTGCTATGTCATGCATCAGCGGCGTTTCGGCCGCAAGTCGAGTGCAGGCAATGGCACGACCTTCTTTCTGACATCCACGTTCCCCAAAGACTGGAGTCGAAGACCACTACCAACAGCCAGCTAATGATCAGGCTTTTATACTCGAAGCCATTGTCGTTATTGCGACTTGCACTAAGTCCTTCCTGATCGTGGTTTGGGACGACGTTAGGGTAATCATCTCTGGCCTCGGATCAAGTCAACGAAGTATCCAATGGCAATCTACCGCCCGATCATTTTAGAGCACCTGGCTGGTCCCCCGTTCCACCTTACTCTTGAAGCATCTTGAAGCACCCTGATCCTGAGGACCCCCGTGGGCCACATGGGCCCCCCGCCTTGAGGAAGTCCAGGGCGTGCGGGTGGTCGCACTCCACCGACTGGGACACGTCGATGATGTAAAGATCCCCTGCGGGTGGTGAACGGATCGAGAGAGCACAAACGCAAGCGGCGCGATCGAGAGCGCGAAAACGTTGAACGCGTTCCATGGTTTCAGAGCGCGGGCTCTCCCACCTCCCTTTCCCTCATCCTGCTTTCCCCCAAACGACTCCTGGGAGCGTCTTGGGGCGAAAGGCTAGACTTTTCGGTTCGTGGTCCCCCTCTTGGGGCCGTCTTGGGGCTCTCTTGGGCCGTCTTGGGCGCCTCTTGGGCCGTCGTGGGGCCCTCTTGGGCCGTTTGGGGGGCCTGTTGGGAGCCTCTTGGGCCGTCTTGAGTCGGTTTGGGGGGCCTTTTGGGCCGTCGTCAACGCCGTGAAAGCCGAAAAGCCGTATATGCTAAAAATGCATGTTGCCCTAACGGAAATCAATGGTTTTGGCCTCTTGGGGGGCCTCTTGGGGGCCTCTTGGGGGCCTGTTGGGGCCTCCTGGAACCTTCTTGGGGCGAAAGGCCAAACTTTTCAGTTCGTGGTCCCCCTCTTGGGGCCGTCTTGGGGGCCTCTTGGGCCGTCTTGGGCGCCTCTTGGGCCGTCTTGGGGCCCTCTCGGGCCGTTTTGGGTGCCTCTTCGGAGCCTCTTTGGCCGTCCTGGGGCGGTTTGGGGGGCCCCTTGGGCCGTCGTCAACGCCGTGAAAGCCGAAAAGTCGCGTATGCTCAGAATGCACGTTTTCCCGAGGAAAATCAATGAGGTTGGCCTCTTGGGGCCCTCTTGGGACGCCCCTTGGGCGCCTCTTGGGGCGTCTTAGGGGCCTCTTGGGCCGTCTTGGGCGGTCTTGGACTCTCTTGGAGCGCTCTTGGGCCGTCTTGGAGGTATCTTGGGCCGTCTTGGACCCCTCTTGGACCGTCTTGGGCGCCCAAGACGGCCCAAGAAGTGCCCAAGAGGCCTCCAAGACGCCCCGAGCGGCCATTAACACTCATCCCCCCGCCCCTCCCCCCTCCCCTGGACCCCTCCCTAGAGGGCTTCGCCCAAACACAACGTCATCACTCGTACCTCGCTCTTTCCGTTACCTGCGCCGGCACGGAAACGGAGAGAGCGCTGCAGCGACCTGCCCGAGATGGCTCATGGCACCCTTCGCTCTGTCGAGCCTTGGTGCTGAGAACTAGTTACGTCACCGCTCTGTTGGGAGCCCTGGTGTTCAGAGACGTTTACGTTGCCGCCGGTTCTTGGGCCTTGGTGTCAAGAGCTTGTTGCGTCACCGCTCGTTCTTGGGAGCCTTGCTGGTAAGCGCGTGCTAAGTCGCCGCTCTGTTGGGAGCCTTGCTTGGAAGAGCTTGTTGCGGCACCGCTCTCTGTTCAGAGTCCTCGTGCCCAGAGATGCTTACGTTGCCGCTCGCTCATGGAAGCCTTGGAGGTCAGAGCTTGTTGCGTCACCACTCGCTCGTGGGAGTCTTGCTGGTAGGCGCGTGCTAAGTCACCGCTCTCAGTTGGGCGCCTTGCTCCTCCTCCTCCTCCTAATCCTCCTCCTCCTCCTCCTCCTCCTCCACCTACTCCTACTCCTCCTCCTCCTCCTCCCCCTCCCCTTAATATTACAGTTACTATTATTAGTGGTCGTAGTATTACAACTACTACTACTACTACTACTACTACTACTACTACTACTACTACTACTACTACTACTACTACTACTACTACTACTACTACTACGACTAC